TAAGACAGAAGTTTGGTTCGTTTTTTTGTTTTGTTTTGTTTTGATTTGGTTTTTTTAATTTGCCAAAGGATGCATGCACTTGCTGAAGGGGAGAAAAGAGAGAGAGAAAGAGAAAGTGAGAAAGCACTCTCCATGGGAGATGGCCATGCTTCAATCTCTTCTCCATTTCTCTCACGTTTCAGGATTTTGGACACATCCAAACACATGCCAGGAGTGTTTGTCAGGCTGCTGGGTCTTGAACTCGAACTGTGTGGTTGGCCATGTGAGATCCAGTCGCCTTAACCACCATGCTACTAGCTGGCCCCAAAGTTTCTAGGTGTACGAAACGTGTTTTATATACTGCAGTGGCACTCCTGTGTGTGGGCACGTGTGTATGTCTTTGTATGCAGACTTCGAGAAATTCTTGGAAAAGTGGAAAGAGGGTACAAGGTCGTTTTGGTGCAAACTATTTTGAAGTCAGTGTGTAACTTTCTCATAATGTACCTTTTTCTTGATATTTTTAGCAGCCCCTTGTACAGGTGTATTCTCTTTGAAACAAATTGTCGAATGCTGAGTCTGAAGACTTGTAGTTATGAACCTAAACCAAGTGGCTCTTGGCCTCCCCCCACCCCATGACTCTAGGAATCTAAGCAGCTGCTCATTTCCGCTATTTATTTCTGTCCTCAAGTTCATAATAAATGGTAGACCTTTGGGGCCAGCAGGTGGTATGATGGTTAAGGGCACTGGACTCCCACATGGCCAGTCGCCGTTCGAGTTCCAGATCTCTGGCAGCTTGCTCTCTCACTTTTCCTCCCTCTCTCCCTCTCTCCCTCTCTCTTTCTCTTTCAGTCTCACTCTCTCTCTGTCCCTCTCTGATCAAATGAAAATAAATAAAGTTAAATAAAAGTAATTCTTAAAAAAAAAAGGTAGATCTTTAAACATATTGTTGAATTGATGACCGTCACAAGGAGATGTACATAGAGTGAGCTGAGATGTAATGCTCATCTCATTTAAAATAAAATCACAGATGTCCCTTGAAAAAGACAATTACAATATCTGTTCTATCTGAATTCTGAATATTTTTATTGCATATGAAATCACACATATTACATTCACCATTGAAAAATGACTCAATGAAGCCAGGAAAGACAATCCGAAAATATTAAGTCATACAGCTCCAAAATGAGTTATATAAAACCAGAATGAATTTCAATTCCTAACACATGGTTTCTTCTAAATAAGTACATGCGGAGGCTGAAAGTCAAGTAAACTGGAAGGTTAAAAAAGAAATCTTTACTCTTCACATTATGAGTCACCTCCTGACAAATAAGGATCCACTCCATGAAGGTCGAATTGTTTCCAGAGAACAGATCCTTTCATCCAGAGCTCAGTGGTCCCGCTAACCCAAATTTCCCTTTGTTTACAGGAAGCCTCTGTAGTCAACATACTCCTACTGACAGAGCCAGACCTGAGGGAACATAGCTAATGATGGGGCAGTTCTCCCCCACTCATTAAGGAACATAAAAATGGAGACCCTTAAAGCTTCAGATTAAATTGTGAAAATATTATTCTGCCCACCTAAAAATAATCTACTGCTTATTTTAAATGTAACATGAACTAGGATAGAAACATACGAAGACCGTGTCTCCTAGAATGAGAGACAAAAAACAAACCAAAACCAAAACAAAACAGCTTCATTTTCTTTCTGTCTCCGAACTAAGGTGAGGGAAAGAACGTGCTTGCCCGAATGTGTGCTGGAGAGGTGGAGGGGGCGGTGTGCAGGGGTCTGGCGTTACGAATGCACCAGGGTAATGTTCCGGTTCAACGTTAGTGATTTCTTTTCCTCTTGATTTGCTATTTGATATAAGAAATTCCCCACATGTTTCCATGGAGACATATGTTCTGCCCTCCAGAATCTATGAGAACGAAGCCTAGGAGCTGCAATCCTATTTAATCTTATGAGGAATGTGGTGATTCTGAGGCAGCCCCGTTTAGGGTCTGGGTGTAGAAGTCCTGAGGATACCGGAGATTAGAAGCTGAATTTCCCAGTGGTCAATGATCACTGGTGAAATTATTGGTAAGACACCTCTTTAGAGTAAGATCCGTCATACCTACAGAGGATAGTAAATGTTACATATGTACTTTAAAGAGATGTACCACCAATGTCTCTGAAAGAAGTAGAACACCGATTCCTTAGCCCGCGCGTGTCCCTGCACTGACTGCATCCGCCTTTCTTCTGTAGAGAGCTGCTCTTCTGACTCATATGTGCTGTCCACTTACTTTCCCGTGTAGTGGCAACCTATGCAGGGATCTCTAAAAACATACCACTGAATTTTACTTGCTTTTAAACTATATGAATTTTTAAAAATGCTGTATGTTTTTGGCTGTGCCTTGTTTTGCTCAGCAATATTTACAAGCAATGCTGATTATACATTTCATCTATATGTCTTCTACTACACATTAAGAGTGGACTCCCACATGGCCAACAGTGGTTTGAGTGGTTCAGCTTCATCAGGTGAGGCAAAACTGGTTTTCTAATGAGTTGTAGCAATTTCTGTTCCTACCACAGGGTGAGTGTTTCTGTTGCTCCACATCCTCACCAACACTTGGAATCATCTGACTTTTCCGTGGTGGCCATCACGTAGTGACGTAGATACTTTGGGTTTTCCTGATTACTAATGAGACAGTAGATCTTCACTTATGTATTGACAATTGGAGTTCCTTTTTTGAGTGCCCGTCTAGGTCTTTTGTTTAGTTCATGGAAAAAATGGGATTAAAGTACAAGTTTAGGGCCAGTAGGTGGTGTAGTGCTTAAGGGTGCAGGACTCCCATGTGGCCGACTGTGGTTCAAGTCCTGGACCTGGTGGCTTGCTTTCTCACTTTCTTCTTCTCTTATGCTCTCTCTCTCTGTCTCTTTGGTTAAATTAAAAAGTAATAATAAATAATAATAACATAAATAAATAAAAATTTTAAAGAGGTTTTTGCTATTGGTCACGTGTGCTTATCAGAAAGACAGAGAGACAGAAAGTGAGAAATCACCACCCAGGGGGTATGGCCATGCCGCAATTCCTTCTCCTCCATTCTCTTCTCAGGATCTTGGGCATGCACACACATGGGCCTGGTGTGAGTTTAAGCCACTGAGTCCAGGACTCAAACCATGGTCAACTACATAGGAGTCAGCGACATAGCCATTATGCCAACTGCTGGTTCCAATAAAGAAATATTTAAAAAAAAAAAGTACGAGTTTATTTTGGTGCAGAAAACTTGAATGAAGCTTGTTCACTGTGTGAGTCACATGTTCTCTATCACTTTTTTTTTTTTTTTGGAGAGATTTTTCGCTATAGGGCGCGTGTGCTCGCCAGACAGACAGAGAGAGACATAGAGACAGAAAGCGAGAAATCACCCCCCAGAGGGGATGGTCACGCCGCAATCCGTTCTCCTCTCGGGATCTTGGGCACGCACGCACACGCGACCAGCATGAGTTTTAAGCCACTGGGTCCGGGATGCGAACCGCGGTCGACTACTTGGGAGTCCAGCGACATAGCCATTACCCTAACTGCTGGTTCCCTTCTCTATCACTTTTGATCCATCAATTACCATTAGAGATGCATTACAAATATCCCCCTTGTAAAATATTGCTTATATGTTTTCAGTTTATGTGATTAGGTACAAATGAGTTGAGTCTTGTTGTATCCATTTTAATACAATATATTGGGTCATTGGAAAAGCCATAGTGCATTTTTGCATAGAAAAATAAGACTTTTTTGTTAACCCAGTAGTTATTTAAGGAGGCTCTCATTTAGACTATAGAGGTCATTTCTAGTCAGTGATTCTGATTCTTATATATATATATTTTTTTTTAAGATAAGAACTTTTTTAAAATATTATTTATTTATTTGGTTATTTTAGAGTGAGAGAGAGAGAGAGAAAAAGTGAGAAAGCAAGCCACCAGGTTCAGGACTCAAACCACCGCTGGCCATATGGGAGGGAGTCCAGCACCCTTAACCACCATGTCATCTGCCGGCCCCCTAACTTTTATATTTTGTAAAATATTTAGTAAACCACATTTTGGAAGAAAAAATAATTTTACTGTCCTATTTACTAATTTAGGATTAAAAATACTTATGTCTCCTAACCTTGTTAACTCAATTCTGGGGTCCCACTCTAAAGAAATAACCAGAAGTAGTTTAAAAACTTTATGTATCAGAATACATATTTGTGGTGGAAAATAAATAAATGCAAACATAGATTATGACAATAGAGTGGTTTAGTAACTATGACATTTACACAATGGCATTTTTGCAGCTGTTAAAATTATTTATAAAGATTTGTGGAAAGTTACTATATCACAATGATATATAAATATTTTATTTCAATTACTTTAATGACAACTACAGAAAAATTCTAAAAGTCAACATCTCAAAATGGTAACAGTAGTTGGTGGTATTTGGTCTTTCCCCTTCCCTTCTACTATTTTTTTTTCCTTTCTACTTTTTTATATGTTCCCTATTTTCTACAATATTCAAGTGTCTTTTAAAGTTAGGTAGGGAAAATAGAGTTAAAATTATGAACTAAAAATACATTTCTAACTAATATTTGAATATATACTCAGTCTTTTATGTCAGGTTATTCTTAGCTGAAAAATTTTAAAATCTCAAGATAGAAAAGTCATTTAGCTTATGTGATATGGAAATGTATAAAGTAATAGCTAATGCTTTAAATAAATGTCTTGGGGGCCAGCAGGTAGCATGATGGTTAGGGTGCTGGACTTCCACATGGCCAACCATGGTTCAAATCCTGGACCTGGCAGCTTGAAACTCACACCAGGTGTGTATGTGTGTGCCCAGAATCCCAAAAGGAAAATGGAGGAAAAGGATCATGATATGACCATCCTCCTCGGGGATGATTTCTCACTTTCCCTCTCTCTTTCTCTCTTTGTGAGTGGATGTGCACTATGACAGCCCCTCTCCCAAACGAATGAATGATTGAATGTCTTATTGTGCTTTATCTCTCATAGGTAAAGTGTTGATAGAGGAGACCCGGTACCTTGCTCCTAAAGTTGCCAGTCATTTGAGCCCAGGGATGAAGCCAATAGCCGCTGGATCCTTCAGCTCACATGTGACCGAATTTCCAAGAAAACGCAAAGGAAGTGAATCAGACCCATCCCAGTAAGTGAATTTGTTCCTCTAACTCCATGAAATCTTTGAGTTTAGGGAGGAGAGAAAAAGATTGCTTTTAATATCATTATTGACTTCCAAGTACATGATAGCATTTGTGTAGGGATGATTTTTTATCTACTCAACCTATCCAAGTGCCACCTCTGTCATCGACTGACTGGAGCTATGTCACCCAACTCTGATGTTTAGTAAGTGTCCAGGAGAGTCAGCTGGAGTCTGAAAGAGACGTGGGGACACAGGGCTGGCTTGCTTATTGTCTGTGGTGGTAGTGAGATACTCACTTTCTTTATGGAAATACTTAACCTTCTTGCACATTTGACTTAAAATAATTACTTATCACCTTACTTATACTTTAACAGTAACCAACCCTTAGTCAGTTTAATTGCTTAAAACACTTTTTTTTCATATTTGTTAAGTCAAGTAGATAATAAAGTCAATGTTGAAAGTACCTTCTCTTTATTTTTGCTGCTTATTGTAACTTGCAGTTCTAGATACTCTTTTTTTTTTTTTTTGGAGAGGTTTTTGCTATAGGGCGTATACGCTCACCAGGAAGACAGAGAAAGACAGAGAGAGAGAAAGCGAGAAATCACCCCCCAGGGGGGATGGCCACGCTGCAATCTCTTCTCCTCCATTCTCCTCTCACGATCTTGGGCACGCACGCTCATGCGCCCGGCGTGAGTTAAGCCGCCGGGTCCAGGACATGAACCACGGTTGGCTAAGTGAGAGTCCAGCGACATAGCCATTATGCTAACTGCTGGTCCCAGTTCTAGATGTTCTTTAATGACCTTCCCAAAGCAAGAGTTAAAATAGTGAAAACATTACGGCAAAATTGCAGTAGCAATCAGAGAGACTCACCTTTGGCCGGTACTTTACATAAATGTGGATGTTGACGGTAGTCCTCCGTCGTGGATGAAGGGGCGAGTCCTGAGTGGGGGGTATGAGGGGAAGACACAGTGAGACATCCTCACTCTCTAATTCTGTCCTTCCCCATACACTTCATAATTTAGCTTCAGTTTCCAAGACAGCAGAATCAGTGTTATTAAAACATAAATACCGAAGCCCTTCCCAAGCTTTGTATCGAGGGTTAGTAGATACTCTCCTGTCTTTAGTTGTCTGTATTTTCTTAGTCTCTCCCATTAACATGAGGGCTCATAGAAACCTCAGTTGATTAAGTGACAGTGTATTTGCTGGTTTTCATCCTAAATTACACGTTGATAGTCTCCACTGAACTCCAGCTAAAAGTGACTGTTGGTCCTTTTTTTTCCTCCTTATTCTTCCAAATTATAAGCATTGTTCATTCCTAGTATCAAAGAAGATTGTGGCTGCTGAAGTGGGAATTGTGAAGAGGTAACAGAGCCTATGCCACAGGGGAACATGGTTGAGACCTTCCTGGGGTCTTGGAGTGAACAGAAATACGGGATCAGTGCTGGGGACATATTAGAAACATGCAAGACACTGGAAGATGATGGGTTTTTTGTTTTTGCGGCAGGCAGCACTAGAGATTGTTTAGTTAAGCAAACCACATTTTCGACAGTGAAGAAGCCAGAACTCAGGAACGTCAAGCAGCTCTCCCAACGTTACACAGCTCACTAACGTGCCCGATTTCTAGTGCGGTACTTTCTTTATCACAGCCAGCTTCCTGTCTCTCTGGCTGGACAGGGTAGGGTGCTTCCAGCACATGGGAGTGATGGCGCTGTCCGTTGCCCAGCACATCTGGGTCGGGGGTGACCTGAGGCCTCCTTCCTTCCAGGTCAGGAAGCATGACAGAAAAAGTGGTGGTGGAAAAGCTTTCTCAGAATCCCTTTACCTATCTTCTCTCAACAAGCATAGAAATATCAGCAGCCAGTGGCAGCAGGTAAGTCCTGGACTATCACTGAGCATATTCCATCCCCTTCCTGCAGTAGGAGGACAGTATCCATCCCACCGGTCGGCTCATTCCCATCCCAGAGCTTCTCCATTCTGCACCCGTCCTTCTGTTCCACAACTTCCCGCTCCCTCTAATGAGGTGATGGACATCAAGTACTTTATGGGTTTTATGAAGTGCTGATTATATAGTATTCTTCCCAGAGGCTCAGGGCGTGAAAGTTGTTTACTAGTTAGTCGATGTGAATAATGTAACCTTGGAGGGCTTCGTATTTTTAAACAAAAGATATATGAAAATGTTCACTCTTTCTGTAGCACTGTTGGTTTTGAATGGAGAACAGGTTCTTTAAAAGGATCTTTGATGAAGATTCTGTGGAACATAGTCATTAAACATTTATGGAATACCTGCTATGTGATATGCCGTAGTTAAGAAGAAAGAGACACAGATAAGACACAAGAAATCTGTACAAGTGGGAAAGACACAAGTAATTATTATACTTCATTTTAACTGCCATAATAGGGGCCTGGGTACTCTGGAAACAAAGGAAATTGGGCATTTAAGTCGGATTAGGATCAGGAATGAAGGACAGCGGCCTGGAGAAGTTGCCTTTAGCTAAGTTGTAAAGACTAGCAATGAGTCTGTAGAGCCAGAGTGGAGAAGGCGTGTTAGGTAGAAGGGGCAATGCTGTGGAAGTGCCAGGTGGGAACAGCATGGGGCTGGTCAGAAACCAGTGGCCTTTGCCTCGAGCAGAGGGGGCATGGACAGGTGAGTGCGCTGTGAGAGCTGAGAGAGACACGGACTAGGTCATGGAGGTCTGCTGTGCCATTGGAAAACCAAAGAATCTGAAGCAAGAGAGGAACTTGGTCAGATTTATTTATTTTTTTAAATTGCTTGCCTCAGGGCCAGCAGATGGCATTGTAGTTAAGGCATTAGACTCTCTCATGGCCAACCACAGTTCGAGTCCCAGACCTGACGGCTTGAAAATCAGGCTGAGCACGTATGCATGTGTGCCCAAGATACCAGAAGGAGAATGGAGAAGGGATTGCCATATGGCCATCCTCCATGGGAGGTGATTTCTCACTTTCCCTCTCACTGTCTCTGCCTCTCTCTGGTGAGTGCATGTACCCTATGGCAAAGACTTTTTTTTTGGTAAGAATAATTTTATTAATTATTATTATTTTTAATTTACTTTAGGGCATGTGTGCTTGTCAGAGGGAGGCAGATAGAGAGAGAGAGAGAAAGCAAGCCACCAGGTCCAGGACTTGAACCACAGTCAGCCACATGGGATTCCAGTGCCTAATCCACCATGCCACTTGCTGGCCTGGCAAAAATCTTTTTAAAAAAATTGCTTGCCTCTGCACTTTCTTTTATTTTTTTAAGAAAAAAAATTATTTATTTAATTTTATTCATTCATTCATTTCTTTTAATTTGACCAAAGAGAGACACACACAGAGACAGAGAGAAAGTGAGAAAGCAAGCTAGGTCTGGGACTTGAACCATGGTTGACCAGTGCTTAACCACTATGCTACCTGCTGGCCTCATCCTCTGCACTTTCTAACTTTTTTTATATTGTGATGAAATATATATTAAATATGAAATTGGCATTGGGATCACTTTTTTTAATTTGCTGTAGGACATGTGAACTTACTAGAGAGAAAGAAAGAGAGAAAGTAAGACCCCCTCCCCCCCCCCCACCCCCATGAGCCACATAGTTGGCCATGTGGGATCCGGCCGCCTTAACCACCATGCTGCCAGCTAGCCCCTGAATTACTTTTCTTTTTCTTTTTCTTTTTGGGGGGGGTTTTTGCAGTATAGTGTGTGTTCTTGCTGGAGAGACAGAGAGAGAGAGAGAGAGAGAGATAAAGAGAGAGATGAATGGCCATGCCACAATCCCTTTTCCATTCTCTGAAGACTTTGCGTATGCTTGCACATGACTGAATAATACTACATTCTAGGGGGAGTGTCTTCATAAAGTTCATGGAAAATGTGTATTATGTAAAAACTATGCATGGATTTCAATTTTTTTACACCAAAATGAACTCAGATTTTAATTCCATTTTTCATAAATTTTTAAAAGAATTGTTTAATTTTATTTATTGTTGTTACCTAAAGAGATTTTTGCTATAGGGCATGTGTGCTTGCTAGAGAGAGAGAGACAGGGAATCACTTCCCGAGTGATTTCTCCTCCATTTTGCTCTCAGGATTTGGAGCATGTACACACTTGCACCTGGTGTGGGTTTCAAGCTGCCAGATCTGGAACTTGAAACACAGTTGGTCATGTGGGGATCCAGTACCCCACCACTACGGCACCTGCTAGCCCCCATGATTATTATTCTTTGATTTATTATGGGGCACATGTACTCCCAGGAGAGAGGGAGAGGGAAAGTAAAAAAGCAAGCTGCTAAGTTTGTGACTCTAACTGTAGTCAGCCATGCAGGGAGTTCAATGCCTCAACCATCACGCCATCTGCTAGTTCAAGTCCCAGATCTGGTGGCTTGCTTTCTCATTTTCTCTCTCTCTCTCTCTTTGTCTCTCTCTGGTGAGCACATGTGCCCTATAGCAAATTCAACTACAACAACAACAACAACAGTAATAATAAATAAAACTAAATGATTCTTTAAAAAAGAAAAGAAAATATTACCACTATAGACCAGTTGCCAATATGGAGAAAATATATAATAGCAGATTTACTGAGACCAGCAGGTGGTGTAGTGGTTAAGGCACTGGATCTCCCATGTGTTCGACTGTGGTTCAAGTCCCAGACCTGGTTGCTTGAAACCCATGCCGGGTGCATGGGCATGTGCGTGTGTCCCCAAAATCTTGAGAGGAGAATGGAGGAGAAGGGATTGTGATGTGGCCATCCCTTCTGGGGGGTGATTTCTCACTTTCTGTCTGTCTGTCTCTGTCTCTCTGGTAAGCTCACATGTGCTATTGCAAAAGTCTATCAGATAAATAAATAGCAGATTTACTAATTTTCTAGGTATGTGCTATAAACAAGGAAATGAATTGTTTGTCTGACAAGAGCAAGCCTTTATTCTACCTAGGACCATTAAATAAAGGTGTATTGGGATTTCATAAGTATAGTATATTTGGATTCCACTATGGACACAAGTTTACTGAGTTCATTTGCTAAAATACCAGTAATCAGGACCAGCAGTTGTCATAATGGCATTGTCGCTGGACTCCCATGCAGTTGACCGTGGTTTGAGTCCTGAACCTAGTGGCTTAAACTCAGCTGGGCGCGTGTGCATGCATGCCCAAGATCCCGAGAGGAGAATGGAGAAGGGATTGTGTCGTGGCCATCCTCCCTGGGGAGTGATTTCTCGCTTTCTGTCTCTCTGTCTCTGTCTTTCTGGTGAGTGTACGCACCCTATAGCAAAAAGCTCTCCAAAAAAAAATAAAGAAAAAGGCCCCCCAAAAAAAAAAAAAAGTGTATGTGTGTGTATATATATATATATATACACACACATACACATATCAGTAATGAAAGCAAATGAAGATTTAAGAAAGCCAAAGTTGAGCTTTAGAAATTGAAGTAATGTATATGTGTGAGAGGTCCTTAGCAATTCCATGGAAAATGTGTGTTATGGAAAAACTGGCCCAGTCCATAGCATGGTGGTTAAGGCACTTGGACCCCACGTGGTTGGAATCATGGACCTGGCAGTTTAAGAAACATACTGGCATGTGTGTAAACGTGCCCAACATCCTGAAAGGAGGGAGTGATGGAGAAGGGACTGTAGCATGACCGTCTTCCAGGGGGTACTTTCTCACTTTCCCTCTCTTTCTCTGTCTCTTTCTGGTGAGCGCACACACCCTCTGACAAAAACTTGAAAAATAAAAGAAAAAAAATGCATAGAGTTTAATTTTTTCGTACCAAAATAAATGTATTCCTTAATTTAATTTTTCCATGAGATTTTGAAGCCCTCTTACATACCTGTATGCTTACAGATCCTTAGAAGAAAATCACTTGCTTGTATTATTGTCTGTTTTGTTTTGTTTTTAATTTCACTTAATATGAAGTCAGGCTAAAATGAGAAAAAAGGAAAAGTAGCTGCTTTAATCTGATTTTCTCTTTTGCTTCAGAAAAGCTGTTTAAATTTGTGCCAACTGCACACGCACACTGGCATGAAGAAAGAAATAGCAGAATCTATGGGAGCCACACCAGCCTGCAGGGGATGCACCTCCCCTGGCCTCCTGAGCTATAGGACTCAGAGTCATTAACTTTCCAGGGCCTCTGTCCCTTCCTCTGTAAAATGGGGATTGTAATAACTACATCACTGTGTCTTGAAAGTCAAATATCATGTGACAGTATCTTTGATGAAGTGCCATAAATGTAAAAGCTTTTCTTTCTTTAGACAGTAAAAAGAAAAAGTACTACTTGATTAAGCTTTAGTCTTAGAAGTTCTTTGTATCTGGAATATTTATAAGTATCTCTTCATTAATTGGATTATATTTTCTATAAACAGCATTATCTTTTTAAAGTAGAAAAATATTAAAAATCTCAAAAAGTTCATAGGTCCACCTGTGCTGGTTTATGAAGTCGGGGTGCCACCATGTGATACTGGAGCCACACGGGAGACCCGGGTTTGGATCCTGGGTTGACCTGTGATCCTGGCTGTCTGAGGGGCGTGGGGAGAGGCTCACAGGCATGGCAAAGCCCTGTCAAGGGTACCAGTCTTTCTCTCTATTTTTCAATAATAAATAAACTCATTTTAAAAAAAAATAACTCAGAATGTTCAAATGACTACAGTAGTTGAGAGGTGGGTTAACTGTTTTTTCAGTGCCTAGAAAAATGTTCACTGTTAAGTCTTTCAATCAGGAAATTCAGTAAGATGAGTCAGAAGCCTTAAGATAGTGGTTCATAAATTATACTTTTAGGGTTTATTTTAGAGTATAATCAAAGATACATATTTCACATATCATTAGCTATGTTATTTATGGTATTAAAATATTTGAATATTGTACTAACTAACCATGGCAAGTGATTAAATAAATTATAGTTTAGCAAACCAGTGGCCACTGTTTAATCATTTTAAGTCATGTTTTCCAAGAATATTTCAAACTGTGGGAAAATAGTCATGTTATAGTGTTAAATAAATAAGACATAAAAATTTACATACTATGATATGAATTTGTTTATTATGTATGCAGTATACTTAGAAATAGCTACTCAGCTCCACTAGCCCCACCCCACAACACAACACGCCATGGCTAATCAGTAGTCTGAGCTGATTTGTTTCTGTCTACTCATTTAGGAAAGAGACACATTAAAAAATTAACTGTAATTATTTCCAGGTAGGATTAAGGGTGCTTTTCCTTGAATTTTAAAAATATTCCTCAATTGATATATTTAGAAATACACACACACACACACACACACACACACACACACAACACATATATGTAAGCTAACAGGTCCCTTATAACATCACTTCTCAGGGCATAGCAAGTAAGAAAAACTTAATAGTCACAAATCACAAATATTCACATATCCATATAAAACATGATGTGTGTGTTTGTATATATATTTTTTTAACTTTTTTTTTCTTAGATTTTTTTTTTTTTGCCTAAGGGCACATGCACTTGCTGAAGAGAGACAGAAATTACTGCCTGAGGGGATGGCCATGCTGCAATCCCTTCTCCTTAATTTTCCTTTTGAGAATTTGGGCACAAACACAAATGTGCCTGGTGTGTTTTTCAAACCACTGGGTCTGGGACTAGAACTGTGGAGTCGGCTACATGGGATCCAGTGCCTTAACCACCATGCCACCTGCTAGCCCTGTAATATATTTTTAAAAAAACGTATTTAAGGGCCAGCAGGTAGTCTGGTGGTTAGGGCTCTAGACACTCTTACATGGCCAATCACAGTTCAAGTCCTAGACCTAGTGGCTTGCTTTCTCAATTTCCTTCTCTCTGTGTGTCTTTCTCTGATAAAATGAAAAATAAGTGAATGAATAAATAAAAGTAAATAAGTCTTTAAAATATGTCTATTTGGGGGGGGAGGAGAGGTTATTGCTATAGGGCGTGTGCACTCGCCGGAAAGAGATACAAAACGAGAAATCACCCCCTGGGAGAGATGGCCATGCTGCAATCCCTTCTCCTCCATTCCCCTCTCAGGATCATGGGTACACATGCACACTTATCTGGCATGAGTTTAAGTCACTGGGTCTGGGACTCAAACCACGGTTGACTACATGGGAGTCCAGCGACATAGTTGTTAGACCAACTGCTGGTCCATTTAAAATATATATTTAAAAAATATTTTCAAGAACTATTTAGCCTGGATCATTTCTTAATACTGAAAGTGTTCTAGCATCATCAGTTTCTTTCATTTCAAGCATATTTGGGTGACTATATTTATACTAAGGGCTACATGAATGTGAAAAATAACATTGGCAAGTGGTCATAGCTTCCAGTTTTTAATATTTCTTAACACCTAGATGTTGTTTTAGGCAAAATAAATTCCTTTTTATTAATGTCTGAAATGTTTAATGTATTATTAGGCTGTGTTAATATAGTCATCATAAGGTTTTTGGTAAGCTATCAGTTGTTTTTAAAATAATTACTACATGGAGCTAGGTGGTGTGGTGGTTAAGGCTACTGGACTCCCATATGGCTGACTGTGGTTCGAGTCCCGGACCTGGTGGCTTGCTTTCTCACTTTCTCTATCTCTCTCAGTTCCTCTCTCTGTCCCTCTCTGGTCAAATTTAAGTAAATAAATAAAGTTAAATAAATTAATTTTTAAAAATAATTCATGTTATTGTATGATAATTGTATTCTTTCTTAAGACTGGCATGAGATAATTTCTAAGTGGAGCATTTATCATTGTTCATTGTCAGTTGACAATAGGTTTTGTTACCCTGATGGGAATGGTGGTGTCGCCGAGCTTTAGCGAGTGCAGCTCCAGTGGACAGTCGTAATCGTTGCAGGTCTCGAGGTGTTCAAGGTAGTAGCATTGATAGCTAAAGGTTTAGTAGAATGAAAATGAATGGACTTAATCTTACATTTATTTTTTTCTCAAGAATTACAGGAAAGCTTTTTCACATAGTTTGATATTTTATCCTGCTTTTTTGTAGAGTGGAAGATGGTGAACAACAAGTAAAAATGAAGTCCTTCAGGTACATTGAATTGTTTAGATGGTACATGGTGGGTGGAAAATCTTTAGCCAAAGCTAAAGGTGATACCAAGATAGCATGGATTTATGAATACTCAGTTTTTCTCATTTAGTATGCTCTGAGAAGTGATGTTATCGGGGACCTATTAGCTTACTTTTCTATCTATTCGAGTAACATTTTGACTTTTATACCTTGAAAAGTTCTCTTTAATCGCTGTTTATTAAAAACAGTTACTGTTGGTGCCGGCAGGTAGTGTGGTAGTTAAGGTGCTAAACTCTAACATGACTGACCGTGGTTCAAGTCTCCAAACTGACAGCTTGCCTTCTCAATTTCTTTCTCCCTCTCTCTCTCTCTCTCTCTGGTGAATGCATTGCCCTATAGCAAATTAAAATAATAATAAATAAAATTAAGATAAATAATTCTAAAAAATTAAAAATGGTAGTTTATTTAAGAGCTATAGCCCCATGGCCCAGTAGTTAAGGGAACTGGATCCCACATGGCTGACTCTGTGGTTAGAATCCTGGATCCAGCAGTTTGAAAAATATAGTAGGCATGTGGGTGTGCCCTAAGTCCCAAGAGGATGGAGAAATGGAGGAGAAGGGATTGCAGTCTGACCACATCTTATGGGGGGGAGTACTTTCTCCCACTCCTTCTCTGATCTCTCTCTTGTAAATGTACCGAGCCTTTGGCTAATTAAAAAAACAAACTCATTTTTTAAACTCTACAACGTACTTTAAGCACTAGAGAGAAACTGATGCATGTAAACAAATTCATTCTATAAACATCAGAATTAGTTGTGTCAAGCATCCGATTATTAGAAATTTGTCGTCATAAACTCTTTGCCTCTTGTTTCTACACATTGCTTCAACAACAGCAGCGATTTTTTCCCCTACATATGGCAACATGACCAGATCCGAGTTTTTCTTTTTCTCCATTTATTGTTTCTGATAGAATTCTATAAGACACTGAATGGTTTGAAGTAGTAATTATTCAGAATTAAGAACTGGATCCCTGATCTATTATTAAGCAGAGAGTTAGCCTTATTCAAATCCTCCATGAATCTTTTCCAAAGCTGCTCCGTCAAGTAAAGTTTCTTTCTTTTTTTTTTTTTGTATTCTTTTTACAAACCCTTGTGTCGAGGGCTGACTCTCAATAGATCGCAGCGAGGGAGCTGCTCTGCTACATACGAAACCCCGACCCAGAAGCAGGTCGTCCATGAATGGTTTAGCACCGGGTTTCCCCACGAACGTGCGTTCCGTGATGGGCGAGGGAGTGGTAAAGTTTCTTATTCAGAAACTGGTTATTTCACTCTCTTCCGAGTGTCCTAGCTCTGTCATCCTGGGTGACTGCTCTCCACAGTGGTCTTCCTCCCCGGTGTTGCTCTCCCTCCACAGCCTGGCTCTGCTGTACAGGCCTGGAGTCCAGCATCTCCATCCACTGCATCTGTTTATGCTCATGGGTGATACTGGTAGAGAGAAGAAGTGATCAGGCTAGCAAGAGTATCAGTAACATTCTTGTAATCATAAATTTTTAATCTAAAAATTGTTCACGAACAGAGAAAAGCATAAAGAGAACACGACATTTTATGTAATTGCATGTGAATTCCTTCCAGTTCACCCAGAAGTACATATGAGAGGGCCTTCAGAAAGGTCATGGAAAATGCATATTGTGAAAAAACTATGCGTGGATTTCAATTTTCTCTTGCACACAGAATGGTTTGAATTTTGAATTAAGCTCATACTTTAATTCCATTTTTCCACAGACTTCTTAAAGTCCCCTCATATGTTGTTTGAGGAGTGTCATCGCCCAGGGTGAGTGGTTGGGGACAGGGAGTGTTTAAATCCATCAGTCTCCATCATCTCTCCTCCCTGCCCCCACCCCACATTTTTAATCTGGAAAAATGACATTTTCTTTCATCTTATTTAAAGTCTTCATAAAAACAGATCAGAGAAAGTCTCCCACTTAACCTCTTCCCCATCAGATTACTTCTCTAGGCTCATGTAGAAATTTCTGCAGTTGCCATGATCTGAATGTTGTAGGAGAAAGACAAATGTTTACGGCAAAGTGTGAGAAGTAAAACAGCCTAAGTTTTGAGGTCTGAGATACAATCTTTCCCTCTCATTTTCATCATCTGTGGCAATGTCTTATCAATGGCATCTTCCTGTTGGTTGGCAGCGTTGTTCTTTTCTTGCGATGTGTTAAATAATAGCGTATCTGAAAATCGATGGTGTCTTGGATTTGAAGAAATATGGTCAAGGTGTGAAGGAACTGAGGCAGCTAAGAGAGGGGAGTAATTAATCATGCAGTGGTCAGAGAAAGTTTGCCAGAAGAACTGTAGTGGGTTCTGAAAAAAGAAGAGTAGTTTTCCAAGAATAGAGGAAGAGGGCATTCCCAGGGAAGGAGCTAATAACAGGCAAGGCATAGAGGAGATGGGAGACATGGTGGCTTGTTGGAGGACTAGCAAGCCGTCGGGAGAAAACATGGAGAGGTGACCCTGGAGGTGAAGGCATGAGCCAGGTTCAGAGCACCCGGGGATTCTTGGGTTAACTAGGGAGTTGGTCATTCCTTACTTCAGCAGTACAAATGCACTGAGCAGTTTTATGCACCGGAATTATACGATTGTATTAGTTTTAGAATGATGATTTTGGCAGTTGTGGGTAGAAGAGACTTCTAGAAGAAGAGACCTCAGTTTAAAAGACTTCAGGTTAGAGCAATGAGCCTGAAGCAAGGCAGTGACAGAGCAGACAGAGAGAAGAGAAAGACACCTTCAAGAAATATAGGAAAAACTATGACTCATTTAACTCTTCAGGGTAAAGGAAGAGGTCTGGAGTCAGTCTCGTCATGGACCAAGATAAATCCTATAGAAGGAAGAGTAAACCAGCAGTTGTAGAGGAAGAATTGAAAGTGGGCAAAATTGCAGACAATGCATTGGGTTTGGGATTTCTTGAATTTTAGGGTGTTTTGTAAGTGACTTTAGTATCTATCTAATTCTGGTTCCAAAGATTGAGAAATGGATAAAGAAGGAATAAGAGAGGGGACTAGTGTGGCCTGATGGTGAAAGTGCTGGATCTCACATGGCTGACTCCAGGTTATGAGTCCTGGACCTACATCGGGTGCATGTGCTTGTGTGTCCAAAATCTGAGGGTAGAGTGGACGAGAAGGGATCATGGCATGGCCCTTCCTGCTGGGGGTGATTTCTTACTTTCCCTCTCTCTCAGTCTCTCTGGCAAGCACACACCCTCTATGGTAAAAATCTTAAAAACAATAAATAAGTTTAAAAGGAATAAAATAAGGTTATAATAGTGAGTAGCTTGTAGGCAGTTGTAAAGCTTTATGAGGTAATAGGCTCTCTTAGGGTGAACCACAGAGAGAGGAAAGAGGGCACCCAGCAGGGACTCCGTGTGTGCCAGGACTTAGAGAGGAAGAGCAGTCGGGTAAGGAGGCTGGGGGCGGAGCAGGCCGGTAGAACAGAGGAGGATGAGGACAGGTCACAGAAGCCATGGGGAATGAGGACTAAGCAGTGTCAGATTCAAGGCAAGGTTTAGTAAGATATTACATGAAATAAGGATGATTTTTGCTAGAAAACTTTTAGAGAAGTGGGGGTTGTGGAAGGTTGACTTTAAAGATGGAGAAATGCCTGGGAGATTCAAGATTTACTGCCAATGGCATTCTCTCAGGGAGCTTGCAGAGAAGGGAAAACGGTTGCATGAATGAAATAAAACTTTTGAATTAGAGAAAGTATTTTGTTTGTTTTCAGAAGGAAAACTTGAGCACATTATTGACTCATGTAAGTTTTCTCAGTTTCTCTCTCCCTGTCTCTCTCTGGTGAGTGCATGTGCCCTGTAGCAAATTAAAATAATAATAAATAAATAAAATTAGGTAAATAATTCTTTTTAAAAAAAGGGTTGTGAAGACAATGAGATTAAGATGTTGGTAACTGTTTATGCAAATACCAGGCAGGGTGAGCTTTGAGTAAATGAATACCCTTCTCTTTAATGAAGGGAGATAGAAAAACCACGGAGGCTCTCAGACACGTCTTAGTTCTCAAAGGTTTCAGGAGGTGAGGCACACAGGAACCGATCGTAGGTAGTGATGGGAGTAAAAGAAGCACAAACTTTCGGAGTGCTGCTGTGTTCTCGGCGGCTCTGCCCTACATGCAGGGCGTTTGGGAGGAGCAGTGTGTGTGCTGGTCTCAGCACCCGCTCCGCTGAGCGCCTCTGGGTGACAGGGTCTGCTGACTTTGGTATAAAGGAGGTTCTTTTTTCTCTTAGAGAAGCACATAGCCAAACTGAAAAGCGGAGGAGAGATAAAATGAATAATTTGATTGAAGAACTGTCTGCAATGATCCCTCAGTGCAATCCCATGGCACGCAAACTGGACAAACTTACGGTTTTAAGAATGGCTGTTCAACATTTGAAATCTTTGAAAGGTAGGTTTGAGAAATGGTTTCCATACTTGGATTTGTGAAGTAAGTGTTCTCTGTAATCGAGGTCTCTGATTAGCTTGTTATTGGCTGTTCAGAGTCCATACAAATGTGCCTTTCAGCTTTATTGCCCTTCATTTTGGTGTTTGTAGTCCTTAGTGTGGAGAGAAACTAAATTGGGTGTCAGAAAACTTGATTCTTTTTGGGTCTGTTTAATTTTAATTTTATCATTTAGTTTTTTAAATTTGCTATAGAGCACATATGTTTAGACACACATGCAAACACACACACACACACACACACACACACACACACAGAGCAAAAATGAGAAAGCAAGCCACCAGGTCCAGGACTTGAACTGCGGTTGGGACCTTAATTCCATGTCACCTGCTGGCCCTAATACATTTTTTTAAAATTTATTTTTGTGGTATTGATTTTTTTTTTCTTTCAGTTTTGCTATAGGGCATGTGCACTTGCCAGAAAGAGACCGAGAGAGAGGGAAACTGAGAAATCACCCCTCGGAGGAATAGCCATGCAGCAATCCCTTCTCTTCTGTTCTTTTCTTGGGATTTTGGACATGCATGCACACTCACTCAACATGATTTACAAGACACCAGTCGGTGCCTTGAACCACATAATCAGCCATGTGGGGTCTAGTTCTTTAACCTCCATGCCATCTGCTGGCCTCAGAATACTTTAAGCCGTAGCTGGAGCTTACTTTTGAACCTGAGAAGTCTATTTATTTAAAAAAAAAAAAAAAAATATATTTTTTTGCTATATGGCACATTGACTCACCAGAGAGACAGAAAGTGAGAAATCACCCCCCAGAGAGGATGGCCACACCACAGTCCCTTCTCCTCCATTTTCCTCTCAGAATCTTGGGCATGCATGCACACGCGTCTGATGTGAGTTTTAAGCTCCCGGGTCTGGGACTCAAACCACAGTCGACTATGTGGAAGTCCAGTGATGTAACCATTATGCCATCTACTGGTCCTGAACCTGAGAAATCTTTACATTTCTACTTGTGTTTCCATGTAGTGGTAGAATATAAAAAGAATATTGCCTGCCCTACATACCTACTTCTCAGTACTTTAGAAGTTCTGAAGTATAGTATTAATTATTGGAATAACTATTAATAAGTTATTGGAAGATTTCTGTTCTTGAAAAAGAAAATCTCCTTAATTTCGGCAGTTTCTCTTAAATGTTTGTTCAGGTTTATCAGTAAGTATCTTAATATGTGTCTTGCCTTACTGTTTTAAAGTATTCTCACATGTGTTAGACATTGAGTGAAGGAGGTTTCTATTTTTTTTTTTAATAATTATTTTATCTAACTTTATTTATTTATTTTTATTTTGACCAGAGAGGGACAGAGTGAGAGAGAGAGGGAAAGTGAGAAAGCAAGCCACCAGGTCTGGGATTCAAACCGTGGTCGGCCATGTTGGGAGTCCAGTGCTCCTAACCACCATGCCACCTGCCAGCCCCAAGTGAAGGAGGTTTCTAGCCACTGTCTTTTGGTGTGTGCATGGTCATTTATGACTTAACAGTTCTCTAACTTGAGCTTGCGTTTTAAATCTTTGTAATAAATGTGCTTGCCAATTTGTGTAATAGAAATCATACCTGCTTTGGGAACAACTCCAGTCTAACTGGGGGGGCGGAGGGCAGGGTAATAGAAGTAAATTAGTTTTAGACATATTAATGTTTATAACCAAAATTTACAATGGGAAGATAAGATCTGGCTGAATAGTGAGCTGAAGACCACAGAAGAGGACAAAGTTCAGATCCATAAAGATTTAAAAGATTACAGTGAAGTTTGGCTCAAAAAGTATAAAAAAGAAATGAGCAAAAATTGAGCAAGGGTCTTAGATCTCTATTCCGTACTGTGTGCTAAGAAAAAAAGCCTATTTTAGGGAAAAGGAAATTACATGGACACAGTATGGGGACTGTGCCAAGCTGAGTTAAAGTGGTTAGGGGAGGGCAGCGTTAGCCCGGACTACGGGTGCTTCCTTAAAGGAGTGTGATTAGAGAGCTTATTTTCATAACCATCTGTCGTGAAAGAAGACAACTGGAACTAGCGTAACTTGTACGCATACTTCCTTTGAATCTTTCAGTATAGGCTGAACTGAGGTCATTTGATTGCAGTCCTAAATTACAGGACTATTTTTGCATTGGCAGTGTCCTGAGGGAGGAGGACCTAAGGGAAAAACCCAGAATCAGGTAGCTAGTTCAGTAGAAAGAAATGAAGCATCAACTATGTCCCCTGGAGTTAAAAAAAGTGAAGAAGGCAAAGTCTCCACCCTTTAAGCGTTCACGTCTGAGAGGAGAAACCAACCCAAAAATATTAAGTGTCTGTGAAAGCATCTGAGTCCTTATTGTTAATCTTGTCCTCGTCTCACCATGACTTGCTGGTGACATCAGTCTGCAGACCGTATTTAGAGTTGTAAGCCCCCGGGTCTGGGATTCAAACCATAGCCGACTATGTGGAGTAGCCCAACTCTGCAGTATGTGGTCTCCAAGCCTCTGGGCCCTCTGTGTGTGCCGTCTGAGTACTGGGGGGCGGTAGAGTGCAATGATTCATGCATGGGGTCCTGGAGGCAACCTCCTGGTTCAGAGCCTGGCCCCCTGACTTCATAGCTACGAGACTCACTCACCTTCTTTAACATTCTAATCTTAAACTTCCACATCTATAAAACAGAGATAATTCATTTGCCTCATAGGTTGTTTGTTTTGTTTTTGAAAGATTTTTTTTTCCCTTAGGGCACATGCACTGCCAGAGAGAGATAGGGAAAGACAGACACAGTAAGAGGGAAAATGAGAAATCTGACACACACACACACACACACAGACACACACACACACACACACCCCACCCCGGGGAAATGGCCACACTGCAATCCCTTCTTCATTCTCCTCCTGGGATCTTGGGCATGCATGCACACATGCAGGCCACCAGGTCCAGGACTCAGACAGTGGTCTGCCATGTGGGAGTCCAGTGACATAACTGCTATGCCATCTGGTGGTCCCATCCTCGTGGGGTTATTAAAAGGAAAGAATAACACATATGGGGTGTTAGCACAGTGTTCGTTAACGAGGGAAGTGGTGGTAAGAGTATTGGTGGCAGTTATTATGGTCACTTTTGTTTTTTTCCCCACCTAATGAACATTGTGAAAAAGGTAAGTCCCCATGTTGCTTCATTCGCTTTTGCCGTAGGAATTCTGAGACCCGGATTTGTTATCCAGGATGGACAGGTGTATGGAACACGCAGCCTGGCTTTTATTAACCAACTTCACACTAGCGTCAGCTCTGTCTTACTGCCCTTATTTTCTCTTTAGCACATCCCACTCACTCACCCTGTCATTGCTCACCAGTCTGGCCGATTTACACTGGCAGGGTTTCCCCAACATACTTCTGCGATGTGCCCTGCCCACCTTGCTTCAGGCAAGACCTAGAAATGTCACTTCCTTTCTCAAAATAGATTTATCGTTGTACCCTGGCCTGGTGCTTGGAGTCTGCATCTTTTGTCTTTTTCTCAATTTTCATTACTTATCTGCAGTCCTACTGACTGCTGCATAGTAAGAATTATATATATATA